ACTGCCTACCCATGAAGAGCAAGCTGACTAAATTCCTTTCCATTATGCAGTCACTCAACCATGACACCCTCGGTTATGTAGGTTGTGGGTACACCATGATTGTCCTATATAGCCTTTCCTTCGCAACTTTTTGATCGAAAGGATCATGACGACTTGCAAGTGAAAATTTTGCCAGGTGACTGACTGGCAAACCTGAAGTATGCGAACTACCATGCTCTCAATGGACTAAACGCAACTGTTATGCAAACACCATTGCACAAACTTGTGCGCAGCGCTGCAAGCTTCGGCATGTACCTTGCACCGTCAAGGGGCAGAGTACGGTTGTGGAACTAGGCCGACATACCTTCAGTTTTAGCTAGTTCCGAACAGCCACTAGAAGTGATGGCTCGGTTCACTTACCTCGGTAGCTGTGTCACCTCTGGTGATAACATCACTGAAGAGGTTACTTCGCGTATCAACAAGGCCCGCGTGGCTCTCCAGAGACTCAAGCATTCTATGGATACGGCGGGATATCAGCCTACTAGTGTAAAGTAAGGCGTATAATGCTGTGGTAAGACCGATGTTATCGTACGGAGCAGAGACATGGTCAGTTCGTAGTGAAGATATTAAACGCTTGACGGTGTCTGATTACCGGTGCTTGCAGAGTATAATTTTATACTAGTGGGGACTTTGGGTGAGCAATGCTGAGGCCTGCCGGTTGACTTTTGGCAAGAAGTCTCCAACTGCCTCACTGAAGTGTTTGATGAATCTTAAACGCTGTCACTGCTAGACCATGTACTCCATAGGCCAGTTGACAGGCCTCGGCTTGCATTATGCGCCGTGGCTGCAGCAAGTCTGGCGTAATATCGAGGTGGCCTGTCCATGATGTAGCATAGGAGCTTGAAACAAGTGACTTAGAGACTTAAAAGCTAGTGCATGTCGTCCACATAGATGGGGACCCGGGGTTGGTCTACACCAGTGGTCGGATACCCTTTCAGACATGCGCAGTCACACAGCCAGTGGCGCTTCTGTATTCAATTTCTTGCATCTGATTGTTAGTTCTCAATTAATTCTAATTGGTCTAACCCGCCTCCTACTTGCTTCCGTGTTTTATACGTTATTTTTTCATCTAACTCCCCTATATTTCAGTTGTTATTTAGTGTTAGTGATGCGATGTGAGTCGTGGTAACTGGATCCACTGCACTTTGGTGGTAGGTTCCTAGTTGTTTGATTAAACTGGATTAAACTCAGAAAGCAGTATGAAATGGTTCGTGTCCAAGAAATCTCATAGCCACACGTTAACCTGACTGCAAATATTCAGAAAAATCCCCATTTAATTACAAGTGGTATAAAGTAGATCCAAGTTGTTAGATCCAGATTCAGATGGACTGGAACGATAGGAAAATCTCTTGAGTGTTCCTTTTTGAGCGGATCATTAAGCCAGGAAAAGATAAGGTGCCAGGAGTTCCTGATAGATTTAAAACAAAACACCCGAAACACACCCTGGTCAATTAATTACGGTCCACGTTCCCTGCACTAGCAGTCCACGCTGTGTAGGTCACGTGAAGTAAGAAATAAGTAAAAAGAAAATGGAAGATAAAGGGGAATGAAAGTCATTTAAATGAAAGACAGCATCAAAGATTGAAGAAAATGACAGAATATGAAGTAAAAGTCGGAAGATGAATATGGTCAGGAGAAGGGAAAGGTTTCGTGTTGTCACCCAAAAGCCTCTAACTGACGCACGAAACCCTTTACCGCGGCTCCACTGACTACATTTTCTGGAACCGAGTTCCAGCGTTCGATAACTCGACGCGATAACCGAGTTTCCCTCCCTGATTCCGGTCAGATCGCGGCTTGTGTAGCTTCATGGGATGATCACAAAGACAAGGCAACCTAGTCGGGATAAATAGTCAGCTCTAGTCCGGTCGCAGCTTTCCTGTTAAAGTGCGGTAAATAAGGATTAGGTGTTTTCTAAGTCGTCGGTAGTGCATTGAATACATACCCAAGCTAAGTAGACGCTCGGGGTAAGATTGCCTCCGTAACTCCACGACCAATTTAGTACCTACTCACAAAACCCTCTCGAGCTTCATTTTGTCCCAAACGAGGCAGGGTGGGCAAGCCTGGACGCAGTACTTTAGACGGGGCCGAAGGAAAGCTGAGAACAGCTTCACAAATATGTCGGCAGTTAAGACCTTGAAAGAACGGCGTATTAAGCACAACTTTCAGAAACACCTACTTGTGGTCTTCTCGTTTTCCCCAGAATGAGAAGACGAGGAATGCACAACGCCTAGGTCTACCTGGTTGGAGACAAGAAAGAGTTCGACTACAGAACAGAATGAATCCTTTCTGGATTACATGTGACTATTTTGTTCACAGCAAGCTGTCGCGTGAAACGACCGTAAAACTAAGTGGCTAACTATTGAGAAGGATTCAGAAATCTGTTAGCACCTGTAACCTAAGTTTGTAATAGAATGAAGCAGTAATCTGTCCGATTTTCATAAGCGATAACAGAAACGTTTTAACAACTAGAAAATATCGATCTTAAGATGTCTAAAAATTGATAAGCACTTTAATGGAAAAGCACTTGAATAGATTAAGCTAGATCAGTACTGCCAATACAGGTACAGCAAGTATTGTTCCTGTTTGACTTATTACTGGAAGTTAGTGGATGCCTCGTAGTTATGACCAACAGCGGTCGCGTATTAGAAGTGATGTTAGCTTGCACGCAGGAACATCCCGTTATTACTTAATAATCCAGGCACCAATTAAGGTTAACACATTGTCAAAGCTAAGAAGTAACTAAAGTACTAACAAACAGAATTGTGACCGTGTGAGAATAAACTTTTGATCTAGATAGCTTGCACCAAGCAGTGACACATAATTCTATCCCTATGTCGTTATTTCGCAATAACTATAAAAAATGATTTCTTTGAAATACTTAAGGTGCCACAGAAATTCATGATTTAGTAGTCTTGGTAGGTGGTAATCAAACTCTATTCCCTAAGTTCGCTTCCCAGATTCAGAGGCTACTCAGACCGCGTACGGTCCATTACGGCTGCATTACAACGAATCATTTGGAAACATACTGGTGTACTGCTAGCATATTTTGCATCTAATGGTGTAATCTACTGCTTTACTAAGACTTTAGGCCCTGGGGCATAGCGGATGTATTTGTAGGTATTGCGATAATTTAGTAAACCTACAAAATACTAGAACTAATTAAACTCAAATTGCGTATGGAGGTACAAGCTAACAAGCTTTATTTTTCAAAGCATATTATTAACTCCTGGCTCAAAAATTCGCTAAAAATAAACACTCAAAGGAATCACCTATCATTGTATTTTCAGCTAAACTTAAACTTTTTACTACACATGTCGTGCAACAAGCTGGAACGTCGTAATAATTTTCATCAATTTTTTATTGTTTAATAGGTTGGTTGGGTAACCGAAGGAAAATAATCAGTTGTATAAGTGTCCATAGGTAGTGGACAGTTTAATCGTCCTTCAAAATTGCATTGCTTTTGAGGTCAGCCTGCAAGCAACTACATATGGAATAGTGAATATAGGTATTTCCATTAGCCGACGCGATTTGTGTAATTGGTGGGCTTGGGAACTACTGAGGAACTTGATTCTTACCCATTGCATTCAAACAAGCAAGGTCGCTCAAACGTTTCTTAAATAAGTGAAACGGTATGGATTCCAAGATTAAAGCACATGCATTGCTGATGTATGTTTCCACCAAATTGTTATGAAAACTCGCCTAACATACTCCACAACTTTTGCCAAGCTCACTAACAATCAAGATTTTTGACGCCAGCTAGATAAAATCAAAGGAAAATACTAAACAGTTCATTTTTACCAACAAAAGCCCGTCTATAAACCAAATACTAGGTTTTATAGTTTACCTTTCATCGGCATTATTGGTTATGACGATGAGAAGTTTCTCTTTTATTGCTTATTTCTTGCCATTTCCTGGTTCTGAAGAGCGGTAGAGCATGGAATCACATTGCGGGACATCCAAGCAGTAGACGGACACACTAGGTAAGATTAAATGACTCATTCGGTGTTCACCAACAGCTCTACAATTACATCAATTGGTGATTCAACAGTTTACTGAGGATAGACGATTAATGGGTTCGAGTTAAAAGTGAACAAGGGTTTGAAGCATCTGAATGATTAAAGCAGAACACCAGTAAAAACCAATAAAAGATTTGTTCGAATGCTTTGAGAACAACCTAGTGCATACGGTTTGAGCACAAGTGACCAACTCCTACTAGAATAATACAATGCATGCGGACGTCGACAGCCACCGAGAAAACCATGAAATAGGTAGTTTTCAGACAAAATTGGGGCTATGACATGCCTATCATACATAAATATTCCACAGTGCTGGGTTAACGACAGATTAGTAATTATACAGCTAGCTAATAAATATTATCTAGCCTATGGCAGGTAATGGCTACACGCGAAATAAAAAATTGCGTTTAGGGCATGACAAGAAGGTGCAAAAGAAAATGAGAAAGGTTAGCTTCTACGGTTGCCATAACATGTTCTCAAAGGTGGAAGCAAACATTGGTTTCTGCTCTATAGGAAAGTTCGAATGCTTTACAGAGCTAGAAGGGGCGTACGTCTTTCGGAATGGTAGCAGTATAGTGATTGTGATTCCACTGTACTTTATCTTTGTTTTTAACATTTCAGTTACCGAGCATTCTGTACCATTTGTTCATATTTACAAAGTTTGAATACAACAATTTCTACGCGCTCGCGTCGTGCTGCTTTCGTTTTGCTGCTGCCTCTGCTTGTGCTGTTGTCACGTCTATCCACTATTCGGATTTATATCTTTGAATCTCTAGTCGGCATCGGACTAACATCGACTGAAGAAAGAACTAGAACGCATAGGTATTGATTTTTCTATTATTTTGCGTCTTTGCCTAACATTGCACTTTGCCCCTGCACTCGAACTCATTAGGTAACGGTCCTCTACAGCAGTATCAAAAGACATTGGTGAAATAAAAAACTCACCAGGATTTAAATTGAGAATACTTTGATAGCCAGTGAGACGAGGTGTTTTCCAATCCAAGAACCCATACATAAACACTGATAACATTCCCATAAAGAAACCGGCAAGGAGGCTGTAGGCGATGACATAGAAAACAAATATTAAAGCTTGAATAAATGAGCAATCGAAAAAACAAGCACTCCATACCCCAACTTTTGAATGTTCGCCCCAGAAACGCCTTTTTCTCGCTATCATATATTCCTTTTTTGAAACGTTCACACTTTGATAGCTGATACTCCTCCTTCATTGGTGCACACGAAAGGACCAGACAGAAGTCGAAAAATAGACGAGTAATAATTAGTTAAAGGTTGTTGACTAAAACACGCACAATGAGTTTCGGTCTAAACTATTTATCGTAATTTAGCAATATAGTTGGTATTTAAGTTACATAGTTTATAACTGTAACTGCGAATCGAAATGTGTTCTCCGGACACACGAAAAGGGCATTGCAGCAGCTTTGAATCAGAATCAGAATCAATTTATTAGGAGAATGAGATAGGAATCTATGTGATCTCCATCATAAGTAAAGCAAAAATGACCCATGCCGAATATGGGTCTGTGTGAATGCACATCAGTAGTCATTTAGTAATAAGCAAACAAAATACCGATATATAAGCACAAAGAAAGCACTACGTGTCTTGGTCTTTTAGGGTTGCTAGTGTAGCCGTGACATAACCACGCGACGAAAGGAGGTCAAACATGGCGTCTGCATCGAAACACAAGTCTGAAAAATGTTTGTCAATGCTTCGTTTGAAACATTGCACTGAATCAGAAAGAACAACGGAACTGGGCAACCAGTTCCAGAAATGTATCACACGTCGCGCGAAACAGTGAATATGAGTGACATTGTCCATACGTGGAACTTCCAGCTTGTAAGAATGCCCTCGGGTAATAGGTGCATCCACAATACAGAACATATGTCTCAGGTGAGGAAAATGTCTCAAGTGAAGGATTCTAAACGTTGTAATGAGGTCAATTCGTAATCTCCTGTATACTAGTGTGTGGAGACGTAACTTGTGGCACCTCTGATGGTAAGATAAGCCTCGGAGCGTAGGGATCAGGCGGGTGACTAGGTGCTGGACTTTTTCCAGTTTTCTCATCTCCCCTTTTGTACTTGGATAATAGGCCGGTGCCCCGTACTCTAAAAGCGGGCGCACCATGGAGACGTATAGCCTGACAGCAATTTCCTCCGACTAAACGTGGAAGGTCCGCTTTAATGACCAAAACATGCGAAGGCTGGAACAGTAGACCTTGTGCGTATTGTCTGACGATTTTAAGTCCCATCGGGATAGTACTCCTAGATCTCTAACCGTCGCAGCCGAGCACAGTAGACGTCCACCGACACTGTATGTTCTGTCCCGACAGCACTTGCCAATGCGGAGCAATTTGGACTTTTCAGCATTCAGTGGAAGGCAGTTCGTTTCGGATGCTGAGCGTATCATAGCTTAAGCACGTCGTGTCGCCTAACGCACTAGGTGAAAGATTACACTTAGGAACTATTATTGAAACAAAGTTGGTCGTTATGGTAAATTGCGTCCGATCGTGGCTTCCGATTCTTGCAGTGTCCCATACGTACGTAGGTCGCAATAGACCTGGGGCTACAAAAATTAACCACAAACCCCGTAGGTAGCTGATGCCCACGTTGAAGAGAGAACAAGGCGGCAAAGCTGTCAAATTTTATTACCAAAAAAGCACATATTCCCTGCTTCCACTCAGACAAGCATATGAAAGTGATTTCCATCCTCCACGATTCACATATTTTCTTCTTTCTCGCCATCACTTCGCGTCTATTCTGGAGGTCCTTTTAACCGAGCTTCTCACCGACTTGCCTCCGTATCTTTGCTACTACCTGTCTCGTGCAGAAAAAGTGGATTAGTTCGAGTACGCTTGATTTGCTCATTTGTTACTTGGCTTCGCTCAACTTGTGATTCTTCCTGGAGCCTTGAACAAATAGCATCCCACCAGGAAATTTTAACACTAGCAATTCTTATCCCGCTCTTCTTGACATGGGCTGGATGTCGTTTTGCGCCGGCGAACCATTCGTTTATGTTCCTTGTGACTCGAGTTGCCTTCCCTACTTTCGTCCCTTTGGCTTAATCATACGGCCTGTTATTCATGTCCGTTGAGTCGATACAAAAGCTCCAACTGGATAATGTGGTTTCCTCTTACGCCTCAGTGCCAAAAGACCTTTATTTGTCAAAACGTTTTATCTCCCCATTCCCGATTCGGTTCTTCGCTCGTTCCCAGTCAATTTGGTTGCATAGGCCTTTCTTATGTTGTTTGCTCTTGCTTACATTTTGTCATTTGTGGGTTTGTGGAAGCTTAATGCATAGCCACATTTTGTCACCTAGGTTGCAATTTTTACCTTGGTACGCCGCACATCTTGCTATATATTTCCGCAATTTCTGCAAATGTCGAACTCTTTTACACTCCGCTTGTTTTTTGGAGACTCTTTGCAGCGATGCGAGCTGCTCGCGATCTTTGGTCTAGAGTTGCTTGGTACTTTACCAAAAGGGGAAGTCTTGGTATGCTGATTCGATAGGGGACAAGTAAAACTGCAGTGCTTCCTGCTACGTCAATTTTGAACAGTACTCTATGTCTTCCTCGTCATGTCAAGCACTTTTGTCATCCTGTTAGTCGGCGGGCCTTACCGTGAACTACATCGTCTCTGGACGTCTTGGTTGACTACTGCTGCTTGGAAGGTGCTTGGGTTGAAGCGCGGATATTGCCTGGTTAGCGGAATGACCTAGCCGGGTTGCTAGCTGGGTGGTCCGCGTTGACCGCTTTTCTGCAAATATTACAACCAAAGTCTACCAGGAAGTGGTCACTTTTCCTGGCAAGCATCCTCCCGATAAAAGCTACTTACATGTGTTTAAAACACCTACGTGGCGCTTAAGACTAGCCACTAACTAAAGTCGATGTCCCTTGCTAAGCCGGATAATCATACTTGCACCACGGAGGTCAACCATTCCTTATCCCAACCGCGACAAGATCGAACACTGTTGGAAATGCTGCGGCACTCCTATAAACTCATGTGACACAGCAACACAAATGCGCACCTATATACATTTACGAATGGCTCGGTCCACTGTTACTAGGCTAATAGTGACATATTCGTCCCTTCCTTGCTTATTAGCTGTCCTGTTACCATAAGCATGCATGTACAGACATGCTTCGCGTTGTCCAGCATCGACAATTTATTCATTTAAGGTCAAGGTAATTCACGTACGCACTTGAATGCACACATATAGGGTGAATCGTAATCCTTGATACATGCTACTGACATGACAAGTAAAAACAATTCAAAGGCGACAGGACAACATCCCAATGGAAAATTCGATAAATGCAAATTTCCTGTCAGAATTTACCGGCCAGTTTTCTGGCTAGCCGAACAGCCCCCACGTGGTGCAAACCGGGTGGTTCCGGTTAATAAAGTTCCAGGAAGTGGTGAGTTTTCATCTTGCAAGCATTCTAGCTACCAAAACCCAACTATTATTGCGTAACCATACTGTGACGTGGAGGACCTGACTCGGCACTAAATGACGTCATTGCTACGTGCCACAACGGAGGATCTTAGCCATTTTGCGAAAGTCGACCACTGCAGGTTTCATCTGCTCCGCTCTAATGTTGGCGAATTCACCAAACAAACTAAGAGGTAATAGTATATGTAACAAATCCACTCAACCTGTTGAATTACCCATGAACCCACACGCATATTGCACCGCAGCATTCCAAATTCGAGTGGTTCCCCTAATCTGCTAAAGCGCCGCTGCACCATCCTATTCCACAGCAGTTGCTCCCAAATATTGCATGTTCTGCAACCCAAGCCTCGCCTTTGTTACGGCCTGTCTTCCATCATTATAAGCCTCTTCCACCAAACTGCCTGTTCGGCAGTACCTGCTTCATTAAGCTCTCAATAAAGAGCAGCTCCTGCTACTTGGTAATTCCGGCTCTTACGTTCACTGCTCTTCGCGTCCATCTGGCTCGCTTTTCACACTGTAGAATCCCACCCTCTTTTGATTCACCTAATCCACTGAAGCGCCCAAGCGCCACCCTAGCTTACAATTATTGGTTAATAGTATTGCTTGTTCTACAACCTAACCATCGCTTCAGCTTCGGCCTGTTTCCCTTCACTATAACTCTCCTCCACCTAAGTGAATACTCGGCAGTCCATGTTTCCTTAATCTCTCAATAAAGAGCCGCTTCAGCTATGTAGTTAATCTGGCTATTGTTCGCATCGCTTCCTGTGTTCATCTGGCTTCCTTTGACACCATAGAATCCCAGCTTAGGGGCTCAACTAATCTACTGAAGCGCTGATGAGCCACACTAGCTTACAATTGGTGCTACATAGTATTCATCATCAGCTTTATACACATCAGCTAGAGGTGGGAAAACACCTCCGCTATTGTGCCGCAATACATGAAGGAAATACCTAAATACAGACATATAATACAATACACGAAGGAAAAGTAGATACAACAGTTGCATGCCAGCTGAGCTACCAGCAACGGATAGGCATCGTTCCGGTAAGCTACCGGCCAGCTACTAGGCAAAAAGAAAACGAATATTATGTTTTACCCTACGAAATGAGATCGTAGATGGAGGGGAGGCTAAACGGGACGGGGAGGGACAAAGAAACCCACAGCAGGAACGTCACTGAGACAGGCTCCTTGCCATGTCAGCAAGTGTATCCAGCCAAACGTGTTCACCGTCTTTTGGACCCCAACCAGGGAGCCGTGACGCTCCAACCGAGGCCAGCTCCGAAGTAAGGGACTTCATTCCCCTGGACCAAGTCATCGCTTGGCCACCTTCCTCTTCTTCCACCCACATCCCAGGTGAGCAACCAACGCACGTCGAGGGAGTCGGTGGGCTGGCATGACTAAAACGTGGCCGAGCCATCGGAGTCTGCTGCGGGAAATAACGGTGCTGAGCGGTTCAGCTCCTTTTCCTGGGCCGTAAACAATGCGTCGAACGCGCTCGTTACTCACGCGGTGTTCCCACCAGATGTGAGCCAAACTGCGAAGGCACCGATGGTCGAACGTAACTAGCCTCTTCATGTCCGCCGACCTTAGGGGCCAGGTTTCGCAACCGTACAGTAAGGTCGAAGGCACCGCCGGACTGTACACTCTACCCTTCAGGGTGAGAGTGATGCCGCGCCGCCGCCATAAGTGGCGAAGGTTAGCAAAAGCACTTCGAGCTTTCACTATGCGGTTGTTACATATTATTGCTTGTTCTGCAACCTAACCTTCTCCTTTAACACGGCCTGTCTTCTTTCAATGTAACCATTCTCCAACTAACTTTCTGCTCCGCAG